TGCAAAACAAACATTTTCACCCCACATGCAGTGCTTCAAATTTACACACAGAGTATCCCAGATTGCATCTCAGAGCTTCTACAATTCAAAAATTTTCCGGGGGGCATGCCCCCGGACCCCCCCTAGCACTGAGCAGCATCCCCCTAGCACTGAGCAGCACCCCCCTAGCACTGAGCAGCACCCCCATGCTATAATGAAAAAGCTTGGAGAACCTTGTTAAGTATTATTAGCTCTTGATTATATTGCCAAATGCACGCATTTCAATCAGCTACGCCAAAAGCTCACATTAATAACTCACTTATGGACCGAAAACACAATTCTATTCCACCATCTACCAACATATACCACACCAATATCATTTCAGCATCTACTAGAAACATGTACTAAACCAATTCTATTCTACCATCTACCAACCTGCATCGACCTATCCTCTACCAGCAAATGCCAAACCAATATCGTTCCACTATCTACTACGTACTAACATGTATCAATCCAATCTCATTACTTCACATCTCCTACCAACATATATAACGAACCATTCGCATTCCAACATATCCTTTCAAAACATGACCAGACAGATCACATTCTAACATACCCTTCCAACGACTCACGAATCACCTTCCACCACCTACAAATACCAGTCGCATTACCCTCACCCGTTTTATTCCTATGCACCACTCAATGGCTATCAACATTTACTGCACCAATCTTATTGCTTCTTATCTGCAGTCTACTACAACATACTGGATACATAATTCAACGTTCCGGATGGCGGCACGTTATATTACAGCATGTTTACTTTCGTTTAAAGCGCTTATTATTAAATTCTTGTTTAACTTAACAAATTTATCTGTAAAACGCGGATCCACGTTAGTATGCCTTACTTTACGCGTAACCGCCCGCAAAATGAAAAATGTATTTGTCATCAGCGAACAATAATACTCTACTACTCATTCGTCGAGGCAAAAACTTTTCCCGTCCGTTTCGCATGCTTGATTGGGAACAAACGTACTATTTCTTGATGAATCCATTTCCCCCCGACGTGTACATCACAGCCTGTAGGCCTATGCATGTTCCTGTTAATGACAGCTTCCCTGGAGGTGACTGAAGCCCTGGTAGCCGCCATCTCTCTCCTCTCCTCATCTCTCTCTCCCCTTCTCTTTCTCGCTTTCTCTCCCTCCCCCCCCCTCTCCCTCTCTCTC